GCAATGACTGTCCAGAGGATAGTGTTTGTTCTGAAGAATATGATGATCATAGTGACCAGACAGCTAATACTGTTGGTGATGACAGTTCTGTTTCAAATGCAGATGTTGATGACCAATATGTGCCTGCAGTAGTGAGCACAAACGACCATGAGGGAATCACTATGTGCAAACTAAAAGCTAGAAAAAGGAGTACGAATCCAAATGAATCGGAGAAAAATATTAGAAAGTCTAAAAAGGCCAAAGGAGAAGATTACGTTGATTGTCATGGCAGGACAGTCCCAGAAAAGAAATTAACAATTAAGTGTTCCTGTGGCAAGGGATGTCTGACAAATGTAGATAGAGATGACAAGACTAGGATATTTTCATCTTTTTTGGATATTGGCAACAAGAACATTCAAGACACATACCTGTATGGTCTAATAAAAAAAGATCACAACTCGACCACGGGATGGTACCAGAAAACGTGAACATTCGTTTGCATATTCTGTGAAAAGTCCGGAAGGAATATCATATTCCGTTTGTCATACTGCATTTTGCAGTATATATGGCCTTACCAGAAAGCAGTTTCGTCACCTACAGCATCACACAGGGGATAGTGACATCATAGATAAGCGAGGAAATCGTGGGAAGAAGGCAAAAAATGCAACAGATGATTCTGTAATAGTTGAAATGAGGCAGTTCACACATAGTTTCCCTTGTCGTTCCTCCCATTACTCACGCAAAAAGAACCCACATAGACGCTATCTGCATCAAAGTCTCAGTACCAGGCAGATGTGGATAATGTTTCTTGACAAAAACGACAGATCTGGAAAAAATGCCGTACTTGGTGGAAAGTCCTACAATGGTAAATACAAATTGTGGCTTTTCCGTCGCATATTCAATGCTGACTTTAATCTGGCATTCGGTGCACCAAGATCTGACACTTGCGAGACATGTGACAGACTAAACATTCAAACTTCTGACACAGAAGGTTCTTCCGATTCACAAGCGAGAACAGAACAGCATCAACACCATCTCTAACTAGCTGAGGAAGGTTACACTTCCCGGAAAGCTGATACTGATTAAGCTAGATCGTCGTGGTCAAGCTATGCACAGAGGCATGGAAATCCATCATGTAGTGTAGATGCAACTGATGCTTACAGTTTCGACTATCAACCAAACTTCCCAATTCCCAATCTCACACATGGACAAGTTTTTTTTAATCAAAGACAGCTATCAATGTACAATTTCATTGTTCACGACCATGTGAAAAATACTGCTATAATGTATTATTATAGTGAAGCCGACGCAAAACGTGGCAGGTGAGAAGTCAGTTCATTGCTTCAGCAAGTGTTTTCATATGCTCAAACAGGTGCCCGAAAATGTGTTCTGTATAGCGATGGCTGCAATGGTCAAAATAGAAACAGGATGGTGATGAGCTGCATGCTTAGCCTAACCGACAATGAACATGTCTTTGAGCAAATTGATCACAAAATTCTATTGCCTGGACACACAAGAATGCCAAACGATACTGACGGTGGTCTTGTCGAACAACGCCAGAAAGTGGAGCTGTGTTTGCTGCCTGAGCAGTACGGTGCACTTATCCAAAATGCACGAGTGAAAAACAAGTTTACAGCTTTCTATCCTGAGCAGAGTTCATTCAAGGATTATGATGTGTACTCAAAACATGTACTTAAGTCAAGCTATGTTGATCAGAATGGTGACAAAATTAAGGTTTCCAAAATGCGCTGGTTCAGTTATGGTCAGTCAGATGTTTTCAACACTGAAACGGGTGTAAAAGAAACAGTCCACCATCCTCGAGAAATATGGACGAAATCCACACTTTCTCAGTCTGAACCCCCGACAAAGTGTCACTGTGTAAGGAGAAATACAGTCAGGGCTGAAATCAAACCAAAATATAAAGGCAAGCTACCAATCTCTAAGGCCAAATGGGATGATCTTCAGAAGATCGCACAGCTGCTTCCACGGGAATGTCTGTCGTTTTATAACAACCTAATGAATGAAGGAAGCTTGCCATCCATAGGAGACAATGACAGTGACAGTGATTTGGACTATGATTAATGTTTTTTGCTGACCAGCAAGCAATTTTGCAGTTGATTCTACTGTTCAATGTTAAATGAGACTTGATTAACCTAATGGTTGAGACTGATTGAAGAGATTTTGAAATTGTGAAATCACTATTATTACGTTTCAACTATTTTATCAATGTTGACATTAGTTTAAGTCTTTAAAAAGATTTTTATAAGCATGTGTTTATACTTTCAGTAGTATTTTTATGTTAAATCCCATGTTAAATCAAAAGCAAATGGCTCAGAACAAAATGGGCCAAAATACATTGGCCCTTTCGACCCTTACACAAATTTAAAACGTCAGTTTATATTCTTTTTTCGAATGTTTTGTTAGCAACATTAATATGTCTGCTGCCAGAATGTGTTAAAGTTTTGGAATTTCTTGTTGAATAAAAAATGTTCATTTGCAAGCATATGGTTATGGTTTTCATCACTTTTCTCAAAACACGCTCCACATGACATTGGCCCTTATGGCTCTCAGCTCTTCACTTGTTGACCTACTCCAGGAAATCGGGCGGGTTGGAAGAGATGGCAAACCTTCTTCAGCCCAAATATTGTACAATTCTTACCATTTACGAAGTGTTGGGAAGGAAGTTAAAGAAATTACTATGTGTACAGAGTGCAGAAGAGAAGCAATCATGGCATCCTTCTTAAACCCTGAAGACATGGAGAAACTGAAGGAAACTACTCGAGTCCATGCATGTTGTGATGCTTGTGCAACACATTGTGCTTGTGGTGTGTGCACTTCTCTGCCAATTGAAGACATGTTTCATTCAACAGATGGTTGTGAGGAAGCAAATGACAGTGCAGACAGTGACGTCACCATCGATTACCAATGCATTTCAGACTTGTATGATAGTTTTGACATTGATTTGTAACTGCATTGACACATCTGTATGTGTGTCTTATTGCCACGATTAAAATCAGATCTGACTGTTGCACTCTTCCAGTCTTTGGCAATCTAAACACTTTTAGCAGTCCGAATGAGGAATGAGTGAGTGAGTTGGGTTTAACGCAGCTTTTAACAGTATTCCAGTTATATACAGGGGCATGTCAGCTTAATGTGGGAGGAAAGCCCGAAGTGATGCAGGTGTCAGACGTTTACCACTTCGGTGAAACCCACGAGCACGGGTATGGTGCTGACAAACCTAGAAACATAATCGGGGCGAACCGGGATTCGAACCCACAATCATAGGTTTCTGGCGTGCCCAAGGAACGCAACTCTGCACAGCGAATCGCGGCGCCTTAGACGACTGGGCCACCCGTGGCCCCCGAATGAGGAATGAGAAATGTTTTTTTTATGCTGCTTTTAGCAGTATTCCAGCAATATCACGACAGGTGGACACCAGAAATGGGCTTTGCAGTAGGAGATCGGGACTTTTAAGAACATTTAAGAATATGTCTATTTTGTTGTTTGGTTTGTTTGTTTGTTGTTTAGCGCCGTACTCAGCAATATTTCAGCTATATGACGGCAGTCTGTAATTAATCAAGTCGGGCAGTCTGTAATTAATCAAGTCGGGACCAGTCAGTCCTATTTTGTGGGGGGTAGGGTAGTGGTTAAAGCGATGGCTAATAACACCAAAGACCCGGGTTCGATTACACACAATATTGCCCAAAGTGGCGTGAAAACATATATTTGTCTTAATTATTCGGCATTCATATTTTCAGATTAGATAGCAAATAACAGTTTTATCTGATTCTGATTAAAAAATAACAAAACTTCGTTGTATCATGCCAAGTGACATAAAGAAGTTTAATACATGAACATTCACTTACTTTCATTTAATGTTGTACTAGTAAGGGTGTATATTATTCTCAAGTGACAACAGGAAACTTATTACATATGAATGGAACTCCATAAATCTGAAACGTTAACATCAGTCTACATAATTTGAAGGAGCACAGGAGTTGTGACAATAGTCCACGATCACTAATATCAGAAGTGTTTTTTTCTACCTATTCAGCCTATAGGTAACTGAAACAACAGGGTTTTTTTGTCAAAGTTCACACATGAATCGTTTTCTTTGGATACACAATAGAAACATAACATATCAATGCATTGAATGCAATACATGTTTTTTGTAATAAGAGCTGATTATGTTCATTTTCATTTATAAGAAGTAATAGTATCTTAGCCACTGACATGCAACACACCTACTAGCCTGGACATGTCTCTTAACACCATCTTCATTGGATTTTAATGTTATTATGGACGATTATTGGCTGAGATAACTATACCGAACAGAATTGTACTGGACTCTGGCTTCAGACTAGAGGATAAAGTTGCAGAATGGAATCACCACACCCTTACTCTGTAAGACATTAGCGTAGTAGGTATCTTGAGTATAGGGAAACTTCTGTTTTAAACAATGTGCAAATTTTCCACAAAATGTTTAGGCCACTGTAAACTACAATAAATACATAGACTCATATCTTTATGATATACAGTCTCTATGTATCATCAGTAAGAAAGGAGTGATCTTTCTTTTGGAGTGATGACTTACAAAGCATGTCTATTATCCTTGAGTACCGGTATATAACAGTTAGTTATAATGCCATCATCATACCAACAAGTGTCAGTTAGCACTTTTGCCCGAACAGCATATCTTGTTAAAAGTGTCAGTCTCTGAGTCTCCTAAATGGCACAGAAGGCTTGTGTCTGTGGACCATTGTTGACAGTCCATGAAAACACTTGTCAAAAGGCGTTCTTTCTGTCACAAGCTCCTTGCAGTGAAGAGTTCGCTGATTTTGAGGGATCAGAGCATCAATTTAAAAAAAAATCCTTACTACTTTTGCAACATCTTCCTTGAAGGATGGCAAGTGGTGGAATCCTTTACTCTTTCGTACAGCACACAAGGAATCGAAATGTCTGATTGAGTTTGTAAGATGGAGGTACTCCCTTGAATGGCGAATGGTGCTCTCCTTTGTTTTCTACACAGAACAGGCAATCTTGCTGTCTCTGTTTAGCATATCGATGAACTCATCTGGGGCAATATTGTTATTTCTGCCACCTTGCAAATTGATGAATCGGTTAGCAACTAACCTTTCTGTCTGCTCCTTGGGCAACAACCCTGAAGACAGTGATGTTAAATGAATGGACCCAATGCAGTACCTTGTTGGTTCTCTTGTAGATTGGCATTTCATATTTTGCTGATCTCACTGACCTCTCGCCATCACCCATGTTTTTGTGCAACAGCAAAAGTTTGAAAAGCATGAGGATGTAGCTGTGTAGTTGATCACAACCTGTACCGTTTGATTTTTTTCGGGGCTTTCCAATTCCAACATTATGGACTTCAAAGACTTCATGGACATCAAAGATCCAACATATGCATATGATTTGTCACAAAAATGATAATGGATTCGGCCAGTGTCTTGGTCAAGATTTGCCAACAATAGTTTTCTGGATGAACTTTGTCAGTAATCACTTCTCTGAGGTAATGAAATACATCCTGTGTGCTGTCGAAGAACCACTTCCTCAGAATTGTGCTGCAGATTTCGTTCAACCATCCGATCTTGTCCTCCTCTGACATGTCAGAAAAACCATCAGGTAATGGTATATCAGCATCCAAATCCTCAATACCAAAATGTCGCAGGAAGAGGGCAAGGCACAAACCTTCCAATACTGTGTAATATAGTATCCCGTAGGGTCGATAAGCATTCTTGACCTTGCCCTTGACGTTACTTGCATTCAAGAGATTTCTATAGTAATGCATAGTGCCTCTGTCATTGACACTTTTCGTGCTGTAGGTCATTTTGGTCACTGCCTAAATGCAACAAAACAAGGAAGCAAAAACATATTTTTTACTGATAGAAACATGATTTTTTTCGAACAATAATTAGCATATGAAACAAATGATATACATGAAATATTCATGAAATATCAAGTTAAAATCGTCCGGCATGGTTGAGATTGGCACCAAGTTTTTTTTCAGTTGGTTGCTTCTACATTTTTGTATGCACTATATATATTGTCCCTCCAATGTTATGTAATGACCTATTGTCAAAAAGGCTAGACAAGAATATTTCTCTGGTAAAAATGTAAACCAGATATGTGGAGATAAGTATTTCCAGACAGAAACAAGATGATGCTGTCAATTATATATTGTGCCTTATATTTACCTCCAAAAAGTTCATTAGTCTGTGAAAGTCTTCTGTTTTGGAGAGGAAACCTACCAATTTCTCTTTTGCTGTTGGGACATTTCTCATGGCATTTTGTGCCCCCTGCACTCTCTCGTTTGTCAGTCTGTCCCCTGTCAACATAAACAAACGTGCATAACACATCGGACACAGCAATCGTTTGTATTCAAACTTTACGTCCAGGACAGGTTAAATATTTTTAAAAAAAGTAATTTTTGTGCAATAATGTACCTGATACATAAAACATTAATTATTTCAAGTTTAAAATCTTTATGTGCATAATTTACAGATCAACAGATTATATTTCTCACGTAATTGTTTCAGTAATGTCATATTAACCATAAATCATGTGTCACATGTGCTATGACAAAGTGATATTTATTTGTGAGTTGATACATGTAGTATAAGTATTATTGAATACATTATTTATTGCAATGACAGTCTTCCATGACAGTCTCAGTGAAGTGGTTTGATTTTCAATTTCTTTTGTCATTTTATGAATATTTACAACACGCCTGTAGCATTTCACGCACACGCCGTTAGAGTCGTCAGTTGAAGATTCGACAAAGTCGGGTATGACTGACCTAATGTTATTCACCCGTTTGACGCTGAGTTAAAGTTTCTTACTGAAATGTTTCAACACCACTTTTTCTCCCGTAGGCAACACCGACGTTTCCACGAAGGACACACACGTTACACATATACTTGTTCGGCAGTATATCCGTTTTGGAGTCTCAGCGGACATGGCTTATGACTTGTCATATATTTCAAGCGACGAAATCGTGCAAAATAATTCATGAAACAACTTTCCAATGCATTTGTCTAACCTGTGTCAACAATGGCTGCCTCCATGTCTAGCATTCGGAATCAGTCGTACCGCCCGAAACTGTCGTTCGGAATACCCCGTAATTATATTTACAAGATTGCATGATTATGAAACGAATTCTGATTGTCACTTTCACGATTTGGTAAGCGACGCTCTGATTGGTCGGATGAAAGGTCGTTCTGACGTGACCTCTAATGGGATGTCCTCAGATCTTTGTTTAGCGGTAGCGAGAACTACCGATTTTAATGAGATTGGCGTGATACGAGCGGTATACGTACTATCACACCTATAGACAGTAAACCCGTATAGCCTTCACCTCTATCTGCAACGGCAACACTGGTGTGTGGACAAAATATCTTTTCGCCTGAACGTATATATTGTCATGTCCGGAAATACATGTTCCGTGATTCAATGATTCATAAGGGATGACCACAACTGTCGCTTTGTTGACGTTTTGCAATCGGTGCTGAAAGTAATACCCTTGATGTTTGAATATCATACTTTTAAAAATGAAGTAGATTGTCATTGCATTGCATATTTATGTTGTAGTATCGCCGAGCAGGCTACATCATATGGATGTATGTCAGTACAGTGTTTAGGCGATGCGTTACACAAAATATGAAGGTCTTATGCACCGTAAAGATACCAGTAGCCTCAATGTTGTGAATTTTCACAGCAACACATTTAACTATTTATAAGGTATATAGCCGAGAGAAGTGAGAAATGTTTTCAAGATATTGTAAAAGAAACAGGCACTGACATATTATGTTACAACTAGATATCATAGGACAACGCTCAATAAAAAAGAAATGGAAATCACTGAAATCTATTTTGATATTTAAAGGTTAATTGGTGCATGTTACATAAAAAAGATTTCATTGGTGAATGGTGCCAAATACTACCATGATTACATTTCAATATGATAAATAAAAGATATATATTATTATGACCTTTTTGTATTTTAAAAATGAGAAAATTGTATTTTTTTCATCCTATAAATTAGTTAAAATACATATTCAAGGGTACTTATGCCAACTACAATTTTTCATTTTATAAAGTAAAACAATATACTCATACTAATTTTCGGTCTCTATAATGATGATTGTCTCAACATTGTATTGTCTACATCCAGTTTCCTTTGACAATCATCAGATGATTGACTGATCAAGCTCATTCTACATTTCATCAGGCCTTGCTTTTGATGTTTCCTTATTTTAAACTGATGTTTCAAATTCCCACAAACAAATTATTAATGTTATTCTTTTTTCTCTTTACACCAACAGATATCTGCATTGCACAATGACTGTTACTTTTTATTTCATATCCTGGTATACTAGAACGTGTACTATTTATCTTATTTATTTATTTATTTTTTTATATATTATTTTTTTATTTATGTATGTATCTATTAACATCGTACGCAATATTCAAGCTATATGACGGCGATCTGTGAATAAATGAGTCTTGACCAGACAATCCAGTGACTGACATCATGAGCTTCGATCCACACAATTGGGATTTGATGACATGCATCAACCAAGTCAGCGAGCCTGACCACCCGATTCCGTTAGTCGCCTCTTACGACAAGCATAGTCGCCTTTTACGGCAAGCATGGGTTGCTGAAGATCTATTCTAACCATTCACGGGTAACCAAGAAAATATAAATGTTTCAAATTGGGCAGGGCTTATTTTATTGTCAGATGGGTTTTAATTTGCACCAACTGGAATATTTACAATAACGACGAAAATATGATTCCCATCGTTCAATCTTCGCGGAAGGATCCAAGGATACTGGCAAAGTTTCCAGTGCCACTGTCATTGGATCAAAAGATCATATCCACTAGTATCCCAGACAATTGCTCTATTTTCACGCCTGAGGCAAACGCCATAAAACAGCCTTGGACTTCATTCAACATCAGTCTAACAGTAAACATTTTAACATGTTTTCCGATTCTCGTTCATGGCTTCAAGCACTAAATAATGTCTCTCTAAATCATCAATATATCCTTGGTCTTCAGCAACCCATTCTTGCCGTAAAAGGTGACTATGCTTGTCGTAAAAGGCGACTAACAGGATCGGGTGGTCAGGCTCGCTGACTTGGTTCAAACATGTCATCGATCCCAATTACGTTCATTGATGCTCATGATGTTAATCACTTGATTGTCTGGTCCAGACTCGATTATTATTATACAGACCGCTGTCATATAGCTGGAATATTGCTGAGGGCGGCGTTAAACCACAAACAAACAAACAAAATATGTCCTTGACATTTAAGAATTGTACAATGATCTGTCTACTGGCCAATAGGACATCATATTTTACCAAGCCATGTTGGCATCGTGGGCAATAAAGAAGCAGACGCTGCAGCTAAGGCTGCCCTTGAAAAGTCTCTAACATTCTGATTCCACACTCTGATTTTAAATCTTGTATAAAATATTATATCAAACATTTAATGCAAACAAAGTGGAATACCCAGTCAGGTATAAACAAACTTCATGAAATAAAACCAACTCTAGGATATACCTACTTGGGTTGCCAGTCACGACACGATGAAGTTGTTTGATGACGATGTCGCATTGGTCATAGCCGTTATACCCATGAATATTTGCTAAAAGGTGAAGATCCTCCGTTTGGCGTCCCTTTTGATGAGAGAATTACAGTCAAACATATTTTGCTTGACTGTATTGATTTTTTTCTCTCACAAGGGATACTTACTATCATTTAATGTCTTTAAAGGATATTTTTAATAATATATACGTTCGTCTAACTCTCGTTTTTTTTTAAAGAAATAAAATTATTTGATAAATTTTGAATTGTTTTAAATTAGTGTGATATTATTAACAACTGATATTATTTAAGGCGGCGCCACTCAGGGGGGTTACAGTAGAATAAATGTATTTACCTGACTGTTATTTGATATTTTACGATTGGTTAACATTGAATATGGCCACTTGTGACCAAAGTGATGACATAAATCCTGCAGGAAGCAAAAGTACAGTAAGTCCCCGTGATCCCAGTGGTTGTATTTTCTACTACCTAATCTACTGAAAATATCTTTGTTTTAATTGTCATCTGGTTTGTTTTCTACCTAAGATCACTGTTTTACTGTTCATATTGCCGATGCGATGTAAAATGTGAACTCATTCACTCACTTTTAATTTGCAAACATCGTGAGAAAATACCTTTTAATTGTGTTGAAACATTTGTGAACAATTTGCACATAGCCTTTAAAGTTGTTTTAGAAAAATAAATATTATATAACCTTCTTGGACATGTATTTAAAAACATCTTTTTTTCGTGATCCTATTTCAAACTATCCTGAGGTACCCTGCGAGAAGAGAGAGAGAGATTAACAAGATTGGTACAAACATTATTGCAGGCTGTCTCGCAGGTATTTAGGAATAAAACCAACTGTTTGTTCGGCCGTGACAGTCGGATAACGTATACCAGCTTGGTTTTCGGCCGTGACAATCGGATCACGTAAATTCAGCGCCTGGATGCACCGATCTTGGTCGGCCGGAACGTGGACGGTCATTCGTTGACCCAGGCTGTTGAAATCATACAACGAGACAATAAATATTTGTAATCTTGTTAACGTTTAAACGACGGGCCACTTATATCTAAGACTTTCCAGTGTGAAGTTGGCTATCGCGATATTGTGTGTTGCAGATTTAAGTCTTGGCATAGGTAAGTTCGTTCAAAATTGTAAAACCATATAACAAATTTGCAGAGAGATGTTTTCAGTTGCTTTTGTAAAACCATGGAACGCATGGTCAAAAATAGATTAACATGGTACTTAAAATTTGTGAGTGTGGCTTTCGAAAGAATCGAAGTACTGTTGACCATTTAGTTGGGTTCGAGTCATTTGTAAAAAAATGCAGTACTTACTAACCAGTATGCAGTGCCTATCTTTTTTCGATTTAGAAAAAGCATATGACACCACCTGGAAACACGGGTTTTGGTGTTTGATTTAGAAAATTTACAGCCATTTTCTAGTGACGATTTTAAAATTTTATTCAGATATAATTGTAATTATCTTTCTAATGAATGCATATTTTTACAACGACAAGATATGTTAAAATCATCAACGAAAAGCGATCCGTCTATAAAATCATTTAAAACCTTAGAGAGGCTATTTATCTTAATACTAAATAGTGTTGTTGTTGGTTTGTTGTTTAACGCCGCACTCAGCAATATTCCAGCTATATGACGGCGGTCTGTAAATAATCGAGTCTGGACCAGACAATCCAGTGATTAATATCATGAGCATCGATCACCGCAATTGGGATCAATGACATGCATCAACCAAGTCAGCAAGCCTGACCACACGATCCCGTTAGTTAGCTTTTACGACAAGCATAGTCACCTTTTACGGCAAGCATGGGTTGCTGAAGACCTATTCTACCCCGGAATCTTCACTGGTCGTATATCATCAAGGACTAAGACTCCTTCAGAACATCTCCTATAAATAGTCTTTAAGTAGAGGCTGACGAACCATCGCCTAGACTCCAACGTATAAAATTATCTTTACAGTATATCACTAAATTATCTTCAAACCGATCTAATTCTACATACGACTGCGTTTTTCATCCTCTCTATGAGAAACTTTACCAGATGAAATCCTCTCTTATTCCCCCGCTTGGAATAAGAATAACACCTGCCATTTCAGCTGCATCTATAAACCTTGCTAATATTTCTCCTTATCGTCTTTTGTCTTCACCTCCTTGGCAACTGATAAGGCCAAAAGTAGACCTGACTTTAACAACATTAAAGAAATCACAAACTAATCCACTAATTTGTCAACAAGAATATGACCAACTGCGAAATAAATATGACACATACAAATCCATATTTACTAATGGATCCAAGGATGGTGACGCAGTTGCTAGCGCTACTATCACTGGATCCAGAACTATCTCGTTCAGGTTACCATATAATAGTTCAATTTTCACCTCAGAATCACACGCCATCTTAACAGCTCTTAAACATATTCAAAATCAATCTAAGCATAAGCAGTTCATAATATTTTCAGATA